AATAAATCCCTGATGCCAGGGAGTGAGGCATCCCTCTCTAAATCCCTGATGCCAGGGAAGTGGGCACCCCACACTCCATGCCAGGAACCCCCCCAGCTCCTGTGTCACTCACCAGCCTGCCGTAGAGGCCGGGGATGTTGCCGCACTTCCTCTGCTGCAGCAGAGCCTCCAGCACCTTCCCCCGGCTGCGGCTCTGCGCTAAAGAACTTTTGGCCTCCTCTACTTTTCGCCGCAGGTTTCGCACGAGATCCTTGGCCCCGGATTCTTCCCTTGCCAGCTTCTCCAGAGCCTTCTCTTTCTGGGGGTCAAAGACATCGGCTCAGCCTCCCAAAATCTACTGGATTCAGGGAGCCTTCAAGGCATGGTTTTGTTCTTTGGGGAATGATTGAGGAGTAGGAAGTGAAATTCAAAGAATGGTTTGGGTTGCAGGGACGTCAAAGTTCCTCCAGTGCCACCCCAGCCATGGCAGGGACACCTCCCCCTGTGCCAGGCTGCTCCAAGCTCATCCAGCCTGGCCTGGGCACTGCCAGGGATGCAGGGGCAGCCCCAGCTGCTCTGGGAATCCATCCCAGCCAGGAATTCCCAATCTCCCACCCATCCCTGCCCTCTGGCACTGGGAGCCATTCCCTGGCTCCTGGAGAGGAGAAGGATCCAGGGAGAGCTCAGAGCCCTGGCAGGGCCTGAAGGGGCTCCAGGAGAGCTGCAGAGGGACTGGGGACAGGGATGGAGGGACACCCAGCAGGAGCACTGGGATCACAGCAGGGACACTGGGACAGCAGCAGGGACACTGGGAACCAGCAGGGACACTGGGACACCAGCAGGGACACTGGGACACCAACAGGGACACTGGGACACCAACAGGAGCACTGGGACACCAACAGGAGCACTGGGACACCAGCAGGGACACTGGGACACCAGCAGGGACACTGGGACACCAACAGGAGCACTGGAACAGCAGCAGGGACAGACACTGGGACACCAGCAGGGACACTGGGACACCAGCAGGGACACTGGGACAGCAGCAGGGACACTGGGATACCCAGCAGGGACACTGGGACACCAACAGGAGCACTGGAACAGCAGCAGGGACACTGGGACACCAGCAGGGACACTGGGACACCAGCAGGGACACTGGGACACCAGCAGGGACACTGGGACAGCAGCAGGGACACTGGGACACCAACAGGAGCACTGGGACACCAACAGGAGCACTGGGACACCAACAGGGACACTGGGACACCAACAGGGACACTGGGACACCAGCAGGGACAGACACTGGGATCTCAGCAGGAGCACTGGGACACCAGCAGGGACACTGGGACACCAGCAGGGACACTGGGACACCAGCAGGGACACTGGGACACCAGCAGGGACACTGGGACACCTGTGCCAGGGCCTCAGCACCTGAAGGAGGCTCAGGAATGCAGCCACGTCTCAGAGTCAA